AGATTCCAGTGGTCAGTGTTTTTTAAAAAGCTTCCCAGGTGATTGTTACATAGTCAGGTTCAGAGAACCACTGTTTTAAAGGCAGTCTTTTCTTTTCCATGTAATAATTTTCTGGTTATGTATGACTCATTTAATATTGTTTTTGTCCGTTTTTGTTTTTCAACGTTTATCATACTGACACATTGTAGACTCTACATTTGTTTTAGTGTGTCTCCCACAGTGAATAACTGTAATTAGTTATCTGCCTGTCCTTAAACTTCTCACTTTTCCTTAACTCTGGAAGTGACAGAGTTCTCCCCTTCGGCTCCTGACCGCGGTCTATTTTTCCACAGCTGTCATGGAGATGATGAGCCAGAAGATTCAGCAGCTCACAGCCCTGGGGGCAACTCAGGCCACTGCCAAAGCCTGAGAGCTTGTTTCAGAAGCGGGCCTATCTACCCCGCTTCAGGGCCTTGGGACATTGTGGGCGTGGCTTCCTGGAGTCGGAGAAGGGTCTTGTGTTTAATGCTAATAAATGTGCCAGCTGGGCAGAATGTTGGTCTTTTCTTGCATAAGCAAGGGACTGGTGATGAGTTGGGGAGGTCGAGAGGGTGTTGGCCCTGGCAGAGCCTGCTGGCAGGGGATGATGCAATCCTGAAGGCTCCAACCAGGGCCTTGGAGGAGCTGGGGAAAGTCCTGCGCCCTGGCTGAGCCGGTTACCGTGGGAACTGCCGTCGGGCGGAAGTGATGCTTCGCCGGCTCCTCCTCCACCGCTGGGGGAGCTGCATGGGAAGCCATTTCCTGCGCTGTCTGTGTCCTTTGCTGCTCCCGCGGTTACCGCGCTGCGTGTTCAGCCTGGAGTCCATAAGGCCCTCCAAGCGACCCCGCAGCAACCTCATGACACCACCCCGAATCGGGACGCACAACGGCACCTTCCACTGCGATGAAGCTCTGGCGTGCGCGCTGCTACGCCTCCTGCCAGAGTACCGCGTACGCTTCGCTAGAACTCCCTAGCACTGCCTGCGTCCCTCCGCGCAGTCCGCGTTCCCCAATGGAGTCCCTGTGGTAGCTTGGGCGGCGCGGCCTGAGCACCCCTCCTACCTGCCACCCCCCAGTTCCCCTGGGAAAACACACTAATCCCCTACCCACACGAGCCTTGGCAGCCACCTCACCTTCTATGTCCCTTGCAGAATGCAGAAATTGTGCGGACTCGGGACCCCGAAAAACTTGCTTCTTGTGACGTCGTGGTAGACGTAGGTGGCGAGTATGACCCTCAGAGACATCGATATGACCATCACCAGAGGTGGGTTTCAGGTACCGTTTCTTTGATTTCCTTTATTTCAGCTTTCAAGTGCTCCAATAAGTCAAGCCGTCCACTGCTGTGGTCCCTGGCAGTGAAGGGAGCTGCCTGCCTCATTTTTTAAAGGCAGCTTAGTCCTATGGGACCACAGCCTTCCATCCGTCCAGCTCTCTGACAGCTCTGCTCCCATCTCGCTGTCCTTTGGTCACCCTGAGCCTTGCATCTGCCCAGGCCTCCCTTGGCTCCCACTCAGACTTCAAGCCTCTTCCGACCTCACCGCTTCCGTTGCTCAGTCAGGCTTTTCTTCCGCTTATGCCCCAGCTAGGATTAACCCGTTGTGCACAATCTGATGACGGTTCAGATGTGTGTGGTCTTATACTTTGTTTACACTCTTCCACTG